GTTTTGAAAAATGGGGACATGGGGTAATGTCTCCATAAGTCACCTTCTCCTTGTAATACCTATGTCATACCTTTGTCATTATACAAATTTATGTCCTCATTTGTCACAAAAATGCGCACACACACACACACACACACACACACACCCTCTCTCTCTCTCTCTCTCACACACACACACACACACACACAGAGGTTTGTTTTTGTGAAAAGTGGGGACATCCCATAGGCTTAATGGTTTTTCTACTGTACAGACCGTATATTCTATTGCCCTTCACCAACCCTACCCCTAAACCTACCCCTCACAGGAGACTTTGTGCTATTTCAGATTTTCAATACACTCCATTCTGTGTGATTTATAAGCGTTTTGAAAAGTGGGGACATGGGGTAATGTCCTGAAAAGTCACCTTCTCCTTGTAATACCTATGTTATACCTTTGTCATTATACAAATTTATGTCCTCATTTGTCACAAAAACGCGCACACACACACACACACACACACACACAGACACACACACTCTCACACACACAGAGCCATCGTTATGAGTGCTTTCCATAGGCGTGATGAGAAACGTATCTTGCTGCCAGTTGTAATTTGCAGAGTGAGTGTTTGCCGAAGCACAATCCACACACTTTCTCTCCAGTCCTGTATGTGAAGGGTGTATTTGACTGACCTCTCTGGGCCTCCTCGAAGCGGTCGTGTTCAGCCAGCCACTGGGCGTACGGCACATAGACGTCGTCTCTGAACTGAGAGTGTTTCTCCACTAAAGAGAACGCCTGAAACAAGCAGCAGCCACACCAGTCCATCAGTCACTTGCAAAATGTCCTTTATACATCAGTTTTGTCAATGTTCAGCAAACAGTCACATGTATGGCGGCGTCTCACTGACCACAGAAACAAACTATTAGTGTCTTTGCATCTGCTGAAGATGTGAGCAGCCGCCCTACCCTCAACCGCTGATCATTAAAGCCAAAACAGCCATATATATATATATATACGTATATAAAACATTGTGAATCAAATTAAACTGCTTTTGCATTTTAACAATATCTGAATATTTTGTGGTGAATATAATATAAACATAACTGAAACCTTCCACCTCCTCCAGCTCCACCTGTCTACATCTGCTACGGGATTTATATATGTCTACTCATGCAGCAGCAGCTTATCTTACATGCTTACAGTAGTGTGTCTGTGCAACTATTTTTTGTCTCCACACCAGTTGGTTACATCAGTTGTTTCAGATGCAGCCAATCAAATGACATTTCAAAACAGCAGCAGAATGTTTAGATAAGATAATCACATGCACACTGGTGTTCCTATCACTTTTACATTCTCAAAACACTTCATTCTGTGTGATTTATGACGTAGTGAATAACAGGTACACACACACACACACGTACCTCATCCCAGTGTCTAGTGTCCACATGAAGCAGGACCAGCGCCTTCAGATCGCCCATTTTATTATAAATCTCAGCAGCATAACCGTGATGATTGAACTTCTTAAAGAACACGGCACATCTGGACAGCGGCTCCCTCTCTGCTTTATCCAGCTTACGGGCCAAGTCTATCAACCTACACACAGACAGAGAGAGAGGACGATGATTTATGTCAGCCATTGTGCTGACTGTGTGTGTAATCTTTGTATTATAAAGAGAGAGGGAACAGGAGATCATGACATGACGCAGGTCTTCCATATGTGACCTTGACTCAAAACATCTGTGGAAGATGTCTGCTAACCATCAGGCCATATCATCAGCATGCTGCTGTGACCGCTTCGGTTTAACACCACTGGAACAAACCACCGTTTCCTGTAATATCTACAGTCACTAAAGGCCTGAGTGTGTCCACCATATGACGGCAGCATGCGTGTGTGTGGCTCACATGTCCATCCAGCCGTGTTCTCCGATGATCTCGATGGCTTTCATGTGTTCTCCTGCAGTCAGGTACATGTCCGCAGCCGCTCGAGGCTCTTTACTGTTCTTGGCCCAGTCTGCCTGCTTCTTCATCAGCAGCTTAGTGTCCTTGGGGTCTGCGGAGCCCAGGAAGTCCTTCAACACAAACACACTATGCTTACACAGCAGTGGTTACAGACAGCTAATGTAAACCGGGTCTGTCAATATGTGTGGACTAGCATTTTTAACATATTTAAAAATATATTAAAAACACAACTCATACATACAGTGACTTAAATATACCTCTTCATACTAAAACATCATGAAGAAGAATAAAAATATTTTTTTAATAAGAAGAATAAGAAGTTTTTGTAAAACAAACAAATAAGCAGTGTAGCAGCTTTATTTTTTATTTAAATATATTATTTAACTGTTTGGTAAACTTTTGTACACCAAACAAAGTGATGAACAGTGAGCAGCACGCAGACCCTCAATGTGATAAATGAGCTAGGTAATCTAAAACTAATCAAAACATTTATAGATTACATTACTAACTACAATTTTCAGCATGTAATTTCTCTTCAGTAATGGACTACAGTTTTGTAAGGACAGAAATCCAGATCACAAAGTCTACACACATATTTTTCTGTGTATTCTGTACAGTCATTTGCACAGTCTTGCTATATGTATTAAAAAAGTCAGACAGCTGACGCATCCTGTCTAGGTGGGCAGAATGAACTGCAGCAGTGACGGCACACACACACACACCTTAGCGTACTCAAACATGCGCAGGTCTGTATACATGCTGAGCGCTCGGCTGTCATGGCCGGTTTTCCTGTAGAGTTTGGCGGCCTCGTGGAACTTGCCCTGATACGCATAGACATCAGCCAGGAAGAGCTGGTTATTACTCTCACCCCTCTTCTTCCTCTCCTGCACAAAACACACGTACAGTAAGACGCACAGATGTAGTGTTTCACGTACAGACATGCAGACCATTACCACACACACCAGCATACAAAACTCTACACACAAACAATCACACAACTGCAGGATGACGGCCCCTGAACATTATACTGCAGAGAATTTGGCTGAAACTTTTGCTATTAAAACATTTCATATTGTGTTGTATAAAAGAAACACAATCAGGTTTGGAATGAGTGATGGTAGAATGTGTCTGTTCCTTTAAATCAGAATATGAACAGTGTGTGTGTGTGTGAGAGAGATAAGGGTGGCTTGTTTTCTGGGAAGGAAAGTTTGTGTTGTTCAGAAATGCTTTTGATGTCTGCAGTTCTCAATGGAAAGAATGAACTATTGAATTTCTGATGCCTACGGGTGGATAAGAGTGTGTGTGTGTGTGTGTGTAAGCAGTCATTTTGTGTTGCACATCTGAACTCCACAGGGAGGGGCAATGATGATTTAATCATAATAGAGAGGTCACACACACACACACTCACACTCACACTCACACACACACTCACACACATGTTGTGTATTCACCGTTGGGTTTTATGGGTTCATTCCATAGGTGTAATGGTAACACTACACCTAAACCTACCCCTCACACAAAACTACAAGCATTTTTACATTCAAAACACTTCATTCATGGGGATCAAAACATGTCCCCATAAGAACAACATTTACTGAAACAGGACAGGGTTTGTGTATCACAATGTTCAACTCTGAAAAGCTCAGCATGCTTGATGAGACATAATAAAGAGTAATGTGCACAGTGAAATAAGAGAGGACAAACATAATTCTTCACTAAGGAACACTTTTGATACTTGAACACAATACAAATGATGATATAAATACTTATCTAACTGAAAATTATTGTTTAGTTCTTAGGAAGAAAATACAAGCCCACAAGCCCACAGGAGCTCATTCACATACATCACTGAGGCCTTGTTTCAGAAATGTGGCAATTACATTCAAAAGAAAAAATGACAGTAATTTATAGTAATTGGAATGTATGAAAATGCAGCATTTTGCAGTTTTAGTACTTTTCATATTTAAAAAAATTTTTTTTTTGAAAGTACAAATCTATCCTAGAATGATTTGAATTTATAGGGCACCTATAGGGCAGAAAATGGCCTCTAATTGAAGAATTAGATGAGATGAGGAGTGTAACATGAGGCATGTGTGTGATGTCTTACTTCAATGCTGTTGATGAGCTCCAGATAGCGCAGATCTCGAACCCTGATGAACGCCTGATGAGAGTGACACAAAGACAAATATATCCTGAAACATGTTAAAAACAGGATGACAGGGTGAAAGCGGTGGGTGCGTGCCTCACTTTCTTGGCGGTGTGAAAATCGAGTCCCTCCAGAGCCTCTGTGGCCAGATCCCTCCAGTCATTATCCGTCACACCCAGACAGGCGATCTGATAGGCCTCCTGAAACATGCGTCGCTCCAGGTACTGATACATCGGAGCAGACTGCACAGATCAACCAGAATGACAATCAGCTAACGTGGTCCAAGTATGTCCAAGAGGATGAAAAGGAAAAGTCTCATTCGAAATGGATGTGCCAAAGTCATGTTATTCAGGGGTACAAACATTTTTTGACAGGATTGAAAGTGAAAGTGAAGTGACATGTGGCCAAGTATGGTGACCCATACTTGGAATTAGTGCTCTGCATTTAACCCATCCAAAGTGCACACACACAGCAGTGAACAAACACCCGGAGCAGTGGGCAGCCATTTTTTATGCTGCGGCGCCCGGGGGACTCTCTAACAATTAGGCCACGACTTCCCCCCTGTTTTGCTGTTTGCCGTTTCAACAAAACATGTTAACCAGGACCATGCCATTTACTCCACAACATCAGGAGGTGCGAAATGTCTTTACAACTGGATTAGATTTGGAATACTGGAAATATTTAAAAGAAACAATTGAATGTAGTTTCTCAGCCTTGTTAACAGGCCTACTGCCAATAACTTTACTTTTGTTAAACATACCATGTGGATTTCATTTACACACAGATCACCCGTTACCAAGCTCATTCTCCATCATTTCCCAATCAATGGGAGACTGAACCGGTTTCTCGCACCTGAGGCACCTCCACTGCGGCCATAGAGTAGACGTGAAGGCAGAAGATCTTGGATCCGTTGTAACCCACCACAAAGCCCTGCAGTTTCTGCTGGTGCACTGGGAAGTTACTGGCCTTGATGTTCAGATATCCACTGCCAGAGAAACACAGCATGTCCTCACACTGCGTGTTCCAGGCCACACTGTTGGCATTGGGCTCCTACAGAATCAGAGAAACACAGACACAGGGACACCAGTCAGGGCATCTGATTGCTAACTGTGCTGCTGCTGGCACATCGTCATAGGTCATGCACAGGCTCAGACTGAAGCTCATCATGACCTGGAAGAGCAGCTCCTTGGTGTGAATGTCGTACACGAGGCAGGTGTTGTGTTCGTCCACTACAGCGAGCTTGCTGCGTGATGTGCTCATGTCCAGACAGCGCACTGAAGTGTTCTGCTTCAGCAGCGTGATGGCAAACGGGTTGTCCACGAAGATCTTCAGGATCTACACACATAAAACGCTTTGAGGGCCAATACTAACCAAACTATTTACACTGCTGAGACGGAAGAAAAGAAGCTGCATTCATGTAGCACTAGACAGAAACAAAATGCATCACACAATAGCAATAACTATGACTTTCAAGATCACATACAGCTCCATTCTTCAGCCCCACTAGAAGCCCCTCTCGTCCCGGCGGGCCGCCGATCACTTTAATGTAGCGAATGAGAGACTCCATCAGCCACTCTTTCTCTCTGACGGCCGTGAAGGACAAACACTGCAGTCTCTTCTCCTACACACACACACACACACACACACACACAGAGGACAGGTTACATGTAAATCATCTCTCACTTTCTTTCTTTTTTTAATCACTCAACATATTTATATATAGTGGCCCCTAAATATATCCTGACAGCTAGGTCACACTTACAAAATGACTGAATAACAGTGCATTTAATAACAAAACACCCAAGCAAGCAGCATTTATTTGAAAGAGAGCAAACAATGAAGGAAAAAAAATCTTACATAAAGAAGCAATGAAACAACAGATATATAGGGGCAGCTTTTGCCGGTGCAAACCATCTTTTGGCGTTAAAACAGTACTGTCAGGTTTTACTAAAGATGCGCAGTGAAGAATTAGCGCTGAAAAAAAGGTGGACAGTTATTTTTGCGCCTGACCTTATTAAAAATGCATTTGTAGGAGTTTCCCTTTCATACGCAAAATGTATGGGACGAGAGTATTCAAATGAATCACGCAACGAGATTTACTAACGTTTGCGCTCGTCAAATATTGCTGTATCATTCAAGCGCTTTTGCAGCTGATTAGATATAATCTGTAATGTCCAGTTTATCACTGTGAGTGATGGAAAATGGGTTTTTACTTGCATTTTCACGTGAAGAAACAGACTGTGGCTTTTTTCAGCTAGACGTTGTAAGCACGGTTTAAAAGTTTACTAAAAAGATGCACTTGGATTACAAATGTGTTTGATTTTCCCTTGCAAAATATGTTTGGTTTATCATCACCAAGCAACGGATGTAGTTTTGACTCACTCCTGTTACTGAACACTACACATCAACTGAAAAGCAAGTCTTACTAAGTCTGCTGGGACGCGGGAAAATGGTGCATGAAATTGGGGCTCAGCTTCAATACTGGTGGGTCGGTCAGTTATCTGGCTGCCTATCCTGGACTGACAATGAACAAAGACATTTGTTTTGCTCCTCCTTACTAAAGTGGCCATTTGTTAGTCATAAAGTCGCTGGAGAGCTGATAGTGATCAAGGCCTGCTGGATGAGATGTTTAGACACGGAGGGTCTGCCGAGTGTCAGAAGAGAGCAGCTGTAGTTTAGCATGTGCTTTAGTTACATGTTGAAGGTTTCTCTGGGCTTTGCTCTTCCTCTATCATGCTGGACAATCAGGCCAGACTTATGATACTTTTAAGATGGTAAATGTTGTCATTTTTGATCACTTTATGCTTCTGATGCACAGAAAAGAGCAGCACTGAGATTCTGCCAAACACTTGTGTGTGTTTATGGAGGAAAGACTGACTTTATAATGACAGGAAGATGAGAAAATAAGGAAATGAATGTTCAGCTGTTTCTTTAACTGTAGTTCTCTGCAGGGGATCACTCTGGATAAAAGCGTCAAGGATAATAAATGACTAAATACATTAAACAAATCACACTCTGAAGGCACTCTGACCAACTCGTCTAGACAAAACACTTTCTGTGTGTATTTCTGGAGTGTGGAGTTTGAATGGGCTGCTTCATATCACAAGAGACGGGTCAACATCTGACCCGACCGCCAAACACAGCCTCTCAGTCATCCTACAGCTCCGTGTTTGATCACGCTTCAGATAACACTGCGTGACAACACGTCTTTCATATGAGATCATGCACACACAGTATACATCTGAATAAAGCCCATTCTTAGGACCATTGAGACGCTTTCATTTGGTCACATAACTGTAATGCAAAAGAGCCCATGGTCATCACTGAAATGTGGTAAAAATAATGATACAGCGGTGGCCAAAATGATTAGAACACTAGTACTGTCACCAGCTAAAAATGGTTTGAAGTCAGTTATTTCTATCTTTTGCTGTAATGACGCTGACGCATCCAGTGAGTGAAACGCCCGCGCTCAGCTGTACATTCATCATAGATAAGTCGCAATGGCAATGCACTGACGTTAGTTTACCAGTGGATACGTCACGAACCGCCAAGCATAAGGCCTACATTTAAGTGAAAATGAATGGTAGGTAATATGCAGCTTTGAAACCAGCAAAAATGGCAGGATAGTGTAGAACACGGATTCACACAAGGTCACATTATGCACCTGCAGCACTTCTATGAACGGAGAAAACAGAATAAAACTATATAGGCTACATAAAAAGGAATATATAGGTCTATATACGAAATATATTTCACTTAAATCATTAACAGATTAACAAAACGAAAGAAAAAATTGTGGTTAGTTTGGATCATTGTAACGCGCTCCAAAGTTCACAGAAAAAAAACCGAGACGGCAGAAAGCCATTTTCTCTATTTTGCAAAAGCTTTACAGTTTTGAATGATGTTTTGGTTCTATCTGTATGACCAACCAGCGTTGGTATGCCCATAAATTACGGAGTAACAGTTGGGAAAACAATGCAGTGATCGCGTCGGTGCCTCACACACACTTACCACATATTTATGCTAACTTGACATCGCAGCCTGTTCATTATCAAAATAAAATACAGTTAAAGAAACATAAAAAGTTACACTGCTCAATTTAAATAGTGCGTAGTACAGTCTGTGCCGTTCAGCGTGACCAGAGCCTCACTGTACGTCTATAATGCCAGTGAAGAACAAAGACTTTAGTTTACATAATAAATCATATTTTAGCATTCAGATACGTCGCGGATATAGAAACATTTGGACTCATCCAGAATGAGAGAGGTAGGCTTCAGTTTCACTTTTTAATTAATTTGTTTTGGCTTGACATTTACATTTAGCCTAAATACAACTTTAGAGGATTTGTTGTGGAGAGAAGGGAACTAAAATAGCCTAATTGTGTCTGTAATAATGTTTGTAAACATTTTGTTTTATTTACTGGTATTTTAGCTTACATTATTTCTGAATGTAATAATAAAATGTGACGTACAGCCTACTAATTTAGTTTTCTTCCTCTCAAAACGCTTATAGGTGTAGCTTTTTTTATTCATGCTGCAAACACTTTTAAATATTTTGAAAAAATACTTTGTCTTTAAAGTGTTACCAGCTTTTTTCTTTTGTTCAATACATTTGGTCAAAATCTAGAAAAGATGATGCTGTATTGGCTATGACTAAGCACAAGTACCAGATCAAGACTCTCTTCGTGTTTTTTCTTTTTGAGTAAAGAAAACGCTGTACTTTATTATTATTATTATTATTATAGGCAAAGAAAAAGTTTTAAAAATAACGTTATTAACCGGTATTTTTTCTACTAAAATCGGTTTCTGAACGGTAATAATACAGAAGAACACAGGAACAGAAACGTTCAAATACCGATTCTGCTCGGAGTGAACCGATCGATTTTTTTTCTTCTGTTTTTAAGCCCTGCTTTATGCAATTGACCAATATCTGTATCGGTATCAGCTAATACTTTATTGTTAAAATCGGCATCGGCATCAGCCAAAAAAATCCTATTGGTAAATCCCTACTGAATTTAATATTGCTTCATTATGCTTTCTAAAGATGATGAAAATTGTCAAAGTTTAATGGACAGTATATAGTTTAAAAAAGTAAGAAAAAAATGAAATCTGCATATGCAGAGTCTTTATCTCTCCTTCCTTACATGGGCGACACGCATATGATCAAAGATAATTTGCATTTTAACTGTTTAATCTGTCTCCTCGCCACTATCACCATTAGCATACATATACAGGTGCATCTCAATAAATTAGAATGTCGTGGAAAAGTTCATTTATTTCAGTAATTCAACTCAAATTGTGAAACTCGTGTATTAAATCAATTCAATGCACACAGACTGAAGAAGTTTAAGTCTTTGGTTCTTTTAATTGTGATGATTTTGGCTCACATTTAACAAAAACCCACCAATTCACTATCTCAACAAATTAAAATACTTCATAAGACCAATAAAAAAATACTAGGGATGCACGATATTGGATTTTGCCGATAACCGATATGCCGATAATTTTCTACTCATTTTGGCCAATAGCCGATGCAGATACCGATATATAATTAATTTTAATTTTGGTTAGTTTTTAACAAGAACTTATTTGTTAGAATTAAATAAACAATAAAATTACTGCTTTATTTAATCAGAAACCCAGTCTAAATATTATTTGTGTATTTTGCTTTAATTTGATTAAAAGTAGGCCAACAGCGCCCCCTACAGATTAAAACTCCTTACTGAGCGGGCGTTAGGACCCGGGGGAGACTGCTGCTGCACGTGCTATTACTGTTTACTCTATCATACACCGAACGCGTCATTCTGTACATGCTTTCACAGATTAAATGCAGCGATCCAAAACAGTGAATCCAATCATCATTCAGACAAAACTTTGCTTCAAGAATGAGCCACAATGCTGACGTGATCTAATCGCTAGCACACCCTGAGCACATGTGAGTTAACGTGTTCCTCTAATCGGCAAGACATATCGGCATAATGTTTCATATTGGGCCGATGCCGATATTTACATTTAAAGCCATCATCGGCCGATTCCGATATTGGTCCGATAATATCGTGCATCCCTACTGTAAACTAATTAATTTACAAATGGAGACTAAACCTAAAGGAACATACAGTTACACACATGCTGCAGTAAGAGCTTACGGCTGAAGTGAAACATGTTCTCTTGAGTTTGAGAGCAGCATGTTTGAATATGATGAACCTGTATGTGCTGGAGGATTTTCTGGTCACCTTTCTGCTCAGTGATGAGGTGCTGTACGATGACGTCAGTCATGCTGTCTCTGTAGGCGTAGCGGTCCTTATATAAGCCATGGACCGTGCTGAAGATTAGCTGGAAGAAGGCGATGGTGCCGTCCTGACAGCCTAAAACCTGCACAACACAAGCTTCTGAAGAGTGTGATGCTCAACCACCACAAATATCCACCAAAGAGCTCGCAACCACACTAATTAAAGAATGCAAATCAAAACACAAAAAGGGTGACATATCGATTGATCGCTCTCCTTTTTATAATGATGTTCTAATGTCTGTGAAAGACTGGTGACTGCTTTATAAAACACAGTTTGAGAGAAAAACAGAGCTGTGGTTTTTAACCCAATATGTGAGGTGATTTTCACATAACTAATTAACTCAGTCACACATCTCCGCTCTGATTAGATATGCACTGTAAGAGTTTACACCTTTAATCTCTCCTTCTATTAATAAACAATAGCTTTAAATAGAGGCGAGTGATGACAACAGCCAATCTCACAAACATATTTCACCCCTCAAAGAAGAAACAAAGGAAGAAATTATCGATTGAATGGAAAAAATTGTCTATTTTGTCTAAATTGTCAAAGTCTATTTAGGACCATTAGGGGTTTTGCATTGTGACATTATTTCTTCCCCTGACTAATTCTCATAACTCTAAGGCAACAACGAATATATTATTATATATCATATGTATTATTATTTGCACAGTAATATATTAAAACAAATTTGGTAATGAATATAATGACAATAACCATTTTTTTTTATTTGACTTTTGGGATGAAAGGTGAACTAGACATATTTTTGTGAGATTCACAGGCTTTTCTTTATTTATAGAATTCATTTTGATTTAACACCATTGTATCAGGTTTTTCGTTTAAACATGATTGCATCATGTTAAGCAGACTTGAAATGGTTACTTTTTGGCTTAACTTGATGTTTTCATTTTGAAAGAACATGTAGCTCAAAATAAGTTTACACTTCCCACCATGCTTTGCATAGGACTGGATATGGGGAGACAAAATGTTAAAATAAAGTGTTATTTTATGCAATTTTTAGCAAGATGAGAAAATAGGGAGACTTGTTAATGCCTAATATTGTATTATGATGGCCATTATTTGGCTGAACTTGAATAAACAGTGGTTCTACACGATGGAAACATGGTATCTCTACTCAAGCACTTCATGTAGGATAAACTAAAGCAAACTGAGTAAACTCAACTTAAAATTAGACATGTCCAAATAACATGATTCAGTCATGTGGAACCACTGTCCATGATAAAGCTCCTAGCACACCTAACTACCCTCATGAATGAATAATCCATGAATAACCCGAGAGATGTCTGACCACATAGTTGGAGTCTGGCTTGACTCGGGAGGTCCAAACCCAGGAGCTCTGCTCCCCGATGGTGCCCAGCCGGACCCCGTCTCTAGTGTAGAGCGAGGCCTGTTTGTCGGAGCCGCCCATCACGATGTACTCGCCCTTAGAGAAGAAGCTGACGCAGCACGGGTCGAAGCTCAGCTGCCGGTCCTTCCCGATCTGCAGAAGCATGAGAACATGCTGCGGCTCTTTTACTGCTTTCACATAACATGCTGCACTACTCACTGCCATAAAACACGATCATCTAACAGCAACTCTGAAATGCTGTGCCAACCTTCTGTGGTTATTAGAAGTAAAAAACAGCCAAATATTTAAAATAAACACTTATTCTGATCAGCTTAAGTCCTGTCGTCATCTGAAATACTGGGGGATCACATAAAAATGTGGTGATATTCCTCAGGGAATTTATCTTTATGCTATGACTCTGATGCAGATCTTCACAATTCTGTCTACAGATGCAGTTCAGCATAAAGCCAAACTAAACCTAAAGCCTTAGTATCAGGAACCTTATACAGACATGTATTATCACCCCACACACACACACACACACACACCATTCACAAAAACATGCACATCTGCACAGTCAGCTTTGTAAAATATCACCCTTAAAATCACCTGCACAAAACTGATCATATATGTTGTTGATAAATGGCTCAGATGTTTGCAATCTCTGGTTGTATCAGAGCGAGTTTGAGTCGATGCAGCGATGCAGTCAGATATTCATGATGAAGCTCCTCCAGTTATCCTCAACACCGGGAGAAGCTACTACACTACTGAATAACAGCCCTTTTCATTTTTTTGGATAAGCTGCTGTTTCCAGTTATTACAAAGTTAAAAGCATTATGGTTTTAAGAGGCTGATGAGCATTTTCACTTCTGAAATGTTCTCGGAGCACGAAACATTTTTTCAAAGCAGCTAAAAGCCTATGGCTGTGTGCGAAACACAGAAACGCTGCTGCTGTTCGTCTGATGAACACACGCACACACACATTCAAGAGTGATGTTAACCATCAGCCCCCTTCACTCTCAATAAACTACGAGCTTCTCACTGGATAGAAGCGTCTGCTAAAAGAAGAAATGCAAATGTACTTCTTAACCACTTGGCTCCATTGTAGTATGCAACCATTCATTCAATTCCCAATTACCTTTACACATGCCTTTTTGTGGCTGCATACATAGAGCTGAGAGAGGAAGAGAGAAAGCTAACAGGACAGTCATGTTTTTCATTTGTTATGAATGCATGTCTGTCTTGTGTCTGGTCTCTCACATCTCAGCCGCTGCAGTATTTGGCCAAAAAAACCATGCCGCAGTGGTTTGCTTTAGCGAACATCCCCTCGTCAGTGCTGTTCCCTGTAAAGAGCTGCAGCGTTCAGGACAGCGGACGCTTTACGAGCTCTGTGAATAGCAGAGTAATGAAGGCAGCATGTTTGTTCAGACAGCACTGGAGGCGACTACATTACAGCTGCATAACGAGCGCTGCATATTTTCCCTTAATTACTACACTTCCCATGCTCACCTGAGGCAGCACACGTGTGTGTGTGTGTGTGTGTGTGTGTGTGTGTGCAATCATAATGTTTTCCAGCAGAGCTGACGTCTTCTATAAAACATGATCACTTTCACTCAGCTCCATGTATTTATAGAGAACGTAAGGGAAATACTCCTGCTCATCTGAAATGAACTATTGTACTATGTTAAGTCCCAGTCGTGATGGATAGTCTGTGTGGAGTGTTTTGCAGATATGATGGTGTCAGTGTTTCATGGTCCTGACGCTTTGGGGAAACACAGATCTGTCCTTTTGAAGCAGAAGATTGGACAAGTAAAGGCAGATCAGGCAGCACTAATCAGATTGGAATTATGATTAACTAAACAAGAGCTGCTTCAGGCTGGAATACACTACACGACTGATTCGCAGTCTGGACGAGTCAACAATAGTGCCCAGAGTCAGAGCCGGTCTGCAGAGTTCGGGCAGTCAGAGCTGAGAGATTTCACAGAAAGTTGTGTCGTGCAGTGCTTCTCAATTCCAGACCGGCCCCTGCTCTGCACATTTTGCATGTCTCCCTTATTTAACACACCTGATTGAGATCATTAGCTTGTTAGGAGAGAGATCCATGAACTGAACTGACCAGCTGATGATCTCAATCAGGTGTGTTAAATAAGGGAGACATGCAAAATGTGCAGAGCAGGGGCTGGTCTGGAATTGAGAAGCACTGCTGTAGTGTCTCATACACTGTGTATGACGGTAAGAGACGGTGATATCAGACTGGTGTCTGAGCCTCCGCAGCTCGACAGCGCCACACCTTTAGTGTGAATCTGTGGCGAGAAATGGAACTGCAGCTGCTCTAATGGATTCGATTATTCTCAAGTGACCTTACGCTCCAAATCAAGACCACACCAGTCAGCTTCAGCTATGTGCATCAGGTCACTAACTAGTTGGCATGTCTGTTCTTCCTATGTGGAGTACATGAATGAAAGTATAATTCAATGCATGTGTGGTGTGTACTAACGGTCTGTGAATGAACATTAGAGCGCCACCTTCAGGCTGAATTACACACCAGACGGCTGCTAAAAGTGTGTTGAGCATATAAAACTGACAAACTGTTTATCCTTAACTAGCACTGAGACAGAATCTGCCCTGCATAAATGAACAAAGTCAGTCTGGTCATTTACAGTAATTTATCAGGTTTACTGAGTGAAACCTAACGTCAAATCAAACTCTAGTCCAAGTCAAGACTCAAATCCCTGTTTGTAAAAGTTTTCTCTACTCTCACTTTACACAGGTTCAGTATCACGTCTCATTTCTGTTGTTCAGATAATCACGTCTCAGGTTCAAGATGCTGGTAACTTCAAAACTTACGAGCAACATCAAGTCAGTGTATTTTGTTGTAAACATACTGTAACTCAGACTTACTGAATATAATCAGCAAAATTCAGATTTTTCCATGACATCTCAACCATGAGCTCATTAACATATCTACATATTATCCACACCCGCTGAGCATTATGCGTCAGGCGGTATAGAGGATGACAGCAGATGTGAAGGAATGGGATTATACTATATATATACATATATATAACTTTGAAAACAACAGACAATAGAGCCGGGGTATTTCCTCCGAGGAGGCAAGGGAGGCAGTGCCTCTTCAAAATACTGGGTCAGAAAAAGTATGTAGTACAAAAATATAACAACACCAATATTACAAATTAAAACATTAAAAAGTGTATAAATGACAGTTTTTTCTAAAGAGACAGTGTCCAGCAGGTAGTTACAGCAGGAGGCTGCGCCCATTGAGTTTGAACAGACCCCCTCAAGCCTGCGCTGGGTTTAGTGGGGGGTAACTGAGAATGAATGGGGGAAAGTCACGTGACAGGATGCAATGCCTCCATCGCAATATGATTGGATATGACTGGTTATGATCGGCTGTGATTGGTTCATGTGATAAAACCTCTTTTGTGTTCATGCGCATTCGTGAATCCGTCTGAAAGACTCATTTAAAAAAGTAAGTAAACAACTCACACACTTAGATATAACCACTCTGTCTCGTCAAAATAAGACTTGACCTGAAAACATGATCTGTGGGAGTTGTAGTGAGTAATCAGCTTGCTGAAATTTAATGTAAATCTCCGTGTCTGTGACCAATATTTACAGAGCTTTGATAACTGATGATCCCAAACATTCAAAAATAGTTAGAAGTTAAAGGCACAATATGTAATTTTCGCCGCTAGAGGGCACGTATTCAAAATAAACAAAGAGACAAAGGCGTAGTCTGATGACGCTGTGACTGAGTGTGGAATCATGGGAGTTGTGGTCTTCATCCCCACAGCCGACGCAATCCGACGGGACTCGGGCAGAAATCATGTTCATGGATGAGCTAATGATTTATTAACGTAGTAGAATGAAGCAGAGTGAGGCTGAAAGCCGTCGAAGCGAAACGAGGCGCTGAACGAGCGCGACACACGGCTGGAAAGCAGCGGAGCTTTTATTATGCCACAGTCGAGCACTTCCGGTGCTTCCGGTCGTGCGTATGTGGGGTAAAGCAGCGCTGTTTTATCATACGAGATACATTTAGTTCTGTTATAATGCTACTCTGTGCGGTCGTCACCGATCTATTAAAACACACAACATATTAAAGCGTCTTTGCTGTTTCCATGTTTTCTACAAAAC